CTAAAATCTTTTGGTTAATAAATCTTAACAAATATTAATTAGACCTCTTTAGTAAAATCTTTTGGTTAATAAATGTTAACAAATATTAGTTAGACCGAATGACTAGGTCCAAAATCTGCGCCTTTTACACTGCAAATTCCATAATTAAGCAATAAAATTGACCTACATTCGAACGGTTCTGCACGGCACAAAACAAAATTAAGCATTAATAGAAAAAAAATCTCCCATGGGGCGTTCGGTTTCGGAGAAACATTCATCCCAACTTTTCTTTTTATTTGGATTTTATTGATATTTTTAATTTTTAATTTTTTACATAAAATTTAAATTATTAAATTATTTTTCTCATATTTTTAATAAACAAAAAAAATTCTAAATTTCTTTTTAGTAAAATTTATATGTAAATAAACTTTTACACTTCTTATCTAACAAATTAAAATTAATATATAAATTCATATTTTGAATGAGAATAGTACTTATCTGTTTTATTTTTAGAGGAAAAATGATTTTAAAATTACATTATTTTAATAAATATTTATTAAAAAAATTAAAATATTTTATTTTTAAAGCATGAATTAAAATATTTTTTATTTTTTTCTTCATTTTTTAAAGATAAGAAGAATAAAAACTAATTTTTTTATTTAAAAAAATTAAAATTTTGATCGCATTAACATCAATGAGAACGCCATTAACCACACCCCCTTCTTTCCTTTTCAACAGCTGTTTTTTTGCAGTCAGATACAATAACCAATTTTCATCCATCAATTAAAAGAAAAAGGAAATAAAAATTGACGGTTGCAACTGCACCGTCTCCCTCGTACCGGGTCCCACAATGTACAAATCTAACGGCTGAGATGCAACTATGTTGTGATTCCCATTTCCCCCAACTTTTTAATCAGGTCAACCAATACTGGCTCGAGTCGAGTCCGCATGAGCCCCAAACTCACTAAAGTGAAAAAGTATGTTCAAATTCCTTTATCCTTTTCATCTTTCCTCACTCGTCACTTTAACTCGCTTCCCACGTTCCCTGATTCTGTGAACAACCAGGATCAACTGGAGCGATGAACGTCAGCCGCCCTACGGTGCATCCGGTTGAAGCTCCGCCTTCCATGGATGCTGCTCAGAACGGACCCAGAGGCAGGATGAAGGACCTGCAGGGCATGCCTGGGACTACTGGCGGCCTAATTCTACGCCTCTCTCAGTTCCTTTTCGCTGTCATCTCCGTTGCTGTCATGGCCACCACCAGTGATTTCCGCACTGCCACTGCTTTTTGGTACTACTGATTAATTTCGGTTTCATCCTTTGCTTCTTTTTTTTTCCTTTTCTAAATGTTCTTGATTTGGGTTCAAGCAAGGGAATTGCAAATGTTGTTTAACTAATTGACGATGGTTTCATGGAATTTTTGGTGTTGCTTGGTTGATGATTTAATGCAGTAAAGCATACCCAATAATTGAAATGAACAACTCTGGTGCTGTGAGAACCTATTTTTGTTCATGTCAAATTCTGTTTATTTATTTATTTGCATCTGTAATTCAGCAGTAGGAGCTTCTACTTTGATTCGGAAGTTTTAACCCATTATGTGTCATACAATTAGAAAGTTCATACATCTTATTGTGTTTCTGTCTTTGGTGGAAAACTTGTCGCCTTTTTTTTTTTTTTTCATAACAAAATCTGAAATTTGTGATCCCATCACTCACATTCACTGTTTAGATAATTAAGTTGTTGCCATGCCATGCTAGTTCAATAAAATGTTATAAACTGTAGCTTCTTCTGGTTTTTCTTTTCTTTTTCTTTTGAAGCCTATTCAGCCTTGTAAATCTATCTCATTCCCTGATCACTTTCCTATACTACATCCTCTACTTTCAGCTTTAATGGAGCTTGGACAAGGGCCCCTTTCCCAGTTATGTGACTCTTAAATTATGCCACAATGCTTTGTATAAATGCTTAATGACTTTCTGGCCACTTTAATTTCTATCAAGATTGTGTTTGGAGAAAAGATACTATAAGTTTCCTGTTTGTTCTCTGTGTTTCTTATCCGTAAAAGCTGTTTCTAGTAGCTCTGTACAATTTTATCATTCACGAGACTGGTTGGTTGACTAATAAAATCTGTTTGGTATATTTATGCGGAGATTGTTGACCCGCTTTACATGAACTCATGTTTTCATTGTCTAGCCTAATTTGCCTCTTTGGATGTATGGATGTATGTTGTGGTGCCTAATTGTGTGTTACTAATTTTTAGGTCTTGGTTTATGAATTTAGAATAATAATATTTTAGATCCAGAAAACGTTCTTCACAAATGCGTTTGTCAGATAGTGGGTGATAAGTTTATTTTGAATGAGAGAAGAGTTTTGACATCTGTTTTCACTAGTAGAACTCTTCTTCCTCCTTTGTGTTTAAAAAGGTAGCATGCATAGGATCTAAAGTTTTCATGCTCTTTATGCATCAGCTACCTTGTTCTTGCGGCTGGCTTGCAAAGTTTGTGGAGCTTGTCCCTCGCATTTCTTGATGTATATGCCCTCTTGGTCAAACGAAGTCTGCGGAGCCACTTAGTGATTCGTCTTTTCACCATTGGTGATGGGGTAAGAGAATTTATCATTATCAAGATTGGAAGTCTGCTGCAAACCATATGATGATACTATTCTTGGTTTTGCCTTGTACTTTTTCTATTCTAGAAAACTGGCTACCAGTAGGTTTGTTATTGTTTCTTCTCCATCAATTAATAATGTTTGCTTTACCTAAAGTTGATTTTTCTAATTAAAAAAAATTATATGATCCGGTTAACCATCAATAAATAAAGTTTCTGCATGAGCTTTCTTACAGTTTAACCAGTGGTTTGACCTCAATGAGTTTCAGCAGAAAACTTGCTCTTTTGATTTATTTACTGTTGAAACCTTTAGTTGGTCTGCCATCCCTTTTTGTTTAGGGCATGATTCTTACTAATTATATGGGACATAAAATCTGACCCTTCCATGTGGTAAAGAAAAGGGCCCTTATTAATTATTTAGCAAATGAAACTACTAAGCCTTATAAAATGTTTTCGTGTCTATTCAGTTTGCTTAGAAGACAGCTAAATGAAATGGATGTTGTCTTACTGCAGATTATGTCTACCCTCACATTTGCTGCTGCTTGTGCATCTGCTGGTATTACAGTTTTGATCGGCAATGATCTCAATAAATGTGCTGTGAACCATTGCACTCGATTTGAGACTGCCACAGCAATGGCCTTTATGAGTTGGTTTGCCATGTCACCATCCTTTCTATTGAATTTCTGGTCATTAGCATCCCACTAAGAAGTGAGTATACCAGAGTCCATGACAAGTGAAAGAGTCTGTGCTTTTATTGAGCAGCTTATACTTCTCTCAGGAAGTTAATTGCAGAAACAGTGTATATACTAAATTTTGCTATATCTAAGATACTTCTCTGCAATACTCAGTCTAGATTACTTTGATTTTTCTTCCTTCCCCTACTGCTTGTGTTTGCAAGTTTTCTCGATGACCTTTTCTACTTTGCAATGAGGACCCCTTTGGAAGGGATTTAGAAAGAGGCAGTGTGAAGTTTCTCGCTGTTGAAGTACACACTTTCCATGCTTATGGGTATAAGATATTTCTTAACCATGAAACTAGGCAACCAACAGGCAGAAGCAGCTACATGGCGTGAACTGCATGTTACTTTGATTCTGGTCGTCATACAACTCCTTTTACCTGATATTGTAGACCTTGCTTTTTTACCATATTTGATGGGTGGAAAGAGCTTCTTCTTTTTGGGCGGCGGATATGGCAGTTGATAAAGCTCTATAATTTTAGCCTAAATTTCTTTGTTTGGTAACTTATTTATTCTCTTGCGTCAAAGGAAAAGTTTCAAACGCAGTTTCTTGTCACAAGAACTGCGTTTGCCTGTATGCGTATGGTAGAAGAGAAATGGAGGCAGAATAACGGTTCCATCTCTTCGTAAGCAATCACTTTTTTTTCAACTACATATATTGAGCTTCTTAGTTTGAAGAATGAACATAATTTTTCCGGGAGACGGAGGACGAAGGGACCTTCACGATGTCGAAAGAAGACGACGATGAGAGAAGGCTGAACCAGTGTCTTAGCAAGTACCGGATAATTGCAAAGCAGGTATGGTTTTCTGGGTTACAATTTCTTCATATATCGGAGAAGAATTGATTCAGTTGTGGCTGCCCTCTACAGTGTGATGAACTTGTGGAGATTATGGAGGCGAAAAGCAGAACACCAAAGCGACGAAGGGTAAGTAGCTAAATTCTTAAAATCTGCTTCTTTGGTTCCACCAATGATTTCTGTTTGATAAACTTGTATTTCTTTGATCATGAATTCATAGGGCACTAAAGGGAATGGCAGTTCCTCTGCCTCTGCATCGACAACTCAACCTGACAACAATGACGCATTTGTGCAGACTGTATCCAGATTTCTCCAGGAACTGAGAGACTGCTCCTCAAGCAATCCTCCTCCAGGAATAGAATGACTAACATTTGTTCTTTGTCAAGTAAAAGATCGATACCTAGGCAGCATAGTCCCTAAATTTGTTGCACTTAATACAAGACTTGTTTAACAGCTAAGACAAACTTATATGAATAGCATAAAATATGAATAAATTTGGACAACATGATTCCCAAGGTTCTTTTCCCTACTTTAAAAATTAGCAAAAAAAATTATGTATAAAAATCGTTACAAATTGTCATCAAAGCAAGATAAATGGAATAAGTACCAAAGGAAAACAATCACTATATAATAACATACATGCTATTCAATTTTCTTTCCAATGGCTTATGTCCTAAACGAGTTTGTCAACCTTCATTGACATTATACTTGTCTCATTTCCCCAAATGCCCCTCCTTAAAACAAAAGGAAAGAAAGAGACTCGAGAACAACAAAGAGAGAGCCTTGCATTGCTAGCCTCTGCTGAAGGGGAAGTGAACTTTCTGTTGTAACATGGTGTGCCGATTTCCTATAACCAACTCTCACATGAAAAACTGATGCTAAATGGTGCATCTACCTTCAACTCCAGGAGGACACCTGAAAAATCCATTGTCTTTACCTAGTAACCAAGTGGATGGTGCAGCTTCCCTAGGGAAAAACTTATTTATCTTTGCTTTATCATTTGCTAGCTAGTGGCATTTCAATTTCAAAGACTCCATCTCAAGTTTTAGCGTTTCCACCTGCTTCCGCAAGGCCTCATTTTCCTGGTAACAGTAAGACTTGTAAATAACTGTAGCAATTGACCATAAGAGATTTATAAAACCATATTTGTCGCACTCTTTTGCAGCAACAATTGTAATAGCTATCTAATAAAGTTTTTCAGGGGCTTATAAGAAAAATAAACATTAGGTTTATTTTTGTTACCAAAGGGTCCAAAGCCGTGGGAGGAAGCTATGCCGAACTATCTAGTTCTAGTGTTTCACCCAGAACAGAATCCTGAATTCCTGATCATGAAAGAGAGGTATGAAGGAAAGAAAGGAAACTGCATTTGGTGCAGAAGTACCTTTTGTTGCATTTCGAGTTTTTGGCTAAAGTCAGTGGAACCCTCCAACTTCCCGGTAGACTCCTTAAACTGTCAAACATATACCAGATAAGTACAGGAGGGGAGAGAGACTCAACAATGACCCCCAATATATTAAACTTCTAAAAGAAGGCAATTTAAAGTTTGCTCCAATGTTCCCACATGCAAATCCTACCTAAAACACCAACCATATTAAATAAATACTGCCAAATAGAAATGGGTAAATCTTGACCCTCCAATTGCTCAAATACCAGGGAAGGGATGTGAATAGAAGCATAGGAACTCGGAAAGCTAACTTTTACTTGTAAATGAATTGCTTAACAAATCTATTCATCATTAGTCAATTTGAAAATAAGACAAGATAGCTCTAGAAAAGTATCTATATAACACTGTATATAATCCTAACACAAAATCATCTGGTCATTCTAATGAATCATCCACAATTCCTACAACAGAAGCCAATCCAAGATAGTGCAATTCCGAACCTAATTCACCATGCATCACTGTTAAATCAAGTATTTTAGAGAACAAATGAAGAGCAAGGAGTCAATGCCAAAACTTGTAGAACCAGTTCTCTCAATCATTTTAGCATTATTAGAACACAAAAAAGAAAGCAAAGCAACCCTTATGTTGATTTTAGTTATTTAGTCCCAATCACCTTGTGTAGCTCCAATAAAATAACTAATTCACTCTCTTCCCTAACCCAATTGCAATATTTTGCTTCATTCCTACATGTACTGTAAAGATTCAATCTTGAGAATTAACCAAAATATCCAAATTCAAGAACAAAGGAACAAATTTTACCTCTTCTAATTCCTTGGCACACTTTGTGGCCTTCTCTGCCTCCATATCGTACTTGAGTCTCCACTCCGCAGATTCATCCATTGCCTCCCGATTGGCGATATCAAATTGTCGTCTACAACAACAGAAACAACATCTCGGTGAAAGAAAAACAAAGAAATAAGCTGAAGAACAGAGATCAATTGGAAGGGAATTAAACCTAAGCAAATCGGCTTCATTGGACGAGATGGTGTAATCGACGGCCCAAAGCCGCAAATAAACTGCAAATCCGAACACCATAGCCACCGCCAACCCCACCAGCATCCGCCTTCTTCCTTTTCCTCCCATTCTTGCGCTTTCCGTTCTTTTTTCCCCTCTGATTTGCAGACGGCGCAGCGTTTTGCGACGTTGGAACCTCCGACCATCGACTATGGAGTCGAGCCAACCGCCAGAAATGTGTTTCTCGGGTTTGGATCTGGTGCGACCACTCGTACGTTGTTCTCGGTCGCAGCTTCCGATCACACTCCGACATTCTTAGGTTTTTTTTTTTAATACCAATCATGACCTTTTTAATTTTAAATATTTTTAATTTTTAGATTATAAAAATATATTTTTTAAAATTTTTTCCCCATTAATCTATTAAATTTATTTTCAGACACATACTTTTAATTCTTACATTTTTAAATTTAAAAATTTTAAATATACATATATTATAAATTAATAAACTAAAAGTATATATACATAAATTTAATAAATTAACTAATAAAATAATTTAAAAATTAAAAATATTAAAAATAAAAAATTTAAATACTAAAATTGACACTTAACTTTTTTTCTTTTTTTTTTAAAGCCTTCGAACATCTTATAGGTTGACTTGACTAAACTTCTCGCGTCTTCTTTAGTTACTGTTAACGACGATTTCTATCCTAATCTCTTTCTGGTGAAAATGAAGATAAAAAAATAGTCACGTATCAATTTTTTTTAATATTTGCAACAAAATGCCTTGAAAGTTGCCGACAGTCACGTGTATAATATTGGTAATATTATAATTATAATATATTGTTAATTAAATATATAATATTATAAATAAACTTTTAAATAAAATAATTAATTATATAGTGATATATTATATTATAATCTTAAAATATAATTATAATGTTATATTATAACTATATTATCTTAGATATAGAATTTATTTGATAAAACGATTAAAATTTAACAAATAATACAGAGTGAATAATGGATAATAAATAATAAATAGTGGTAACAAATAATGGATAGCGAGCAGCGTTTAACGAATAATAGGTGGTAGATAACTGATAACGAATAATAAATAGTAAATTTAATTAATATAACTATTTAATTAAGTATTTTTTTATTTTTTTATTATTAAAATTATTAATTTTATAAAATAATAAATAAATAAATTATAATAGTGTAATCATCCAATAATTTTTATTTTTAATAAAAAATTATATTAGTTTTAAATAAAGTTAAAAAATTAATCTTTTTATCTAATTAACAAATATTGTTTATTAAGTTAATATATTTTTTCATGATAAATTAATATAAAATAAAAATATAATAATTACTTAATATTATTAAAGACAAAAAATAAAGTTAAAATTAATTAAATAAGTATTAATTAAAAATTGTAGCAAAAAATTAAAAAATAAAAAAGATAAATTTGTCAATAAAAGTAAAAAATTTTAATCTGTTAATGATTTAATAGAAAACGTTATTTTAGATAGTTTTTTCAATTTGGTAGCAATTTAAACCTAATCGTTATTCATTAACTCTAAATTGTTAAATAAAAAGTTTCACCAAATATTTAATTTGTAGTGATTTAAAAATAAATAAATTTATTAAATATTTATTTTTAATAATTTGAACAAAAATTGCCAACGGTTACCTTCAAATTATTATATGAAACAAGCTCATATTATTTATTATAATATATAAATAAATTAAATAAAGAGATAAAAGAGGATTGTATGTAACTTAAAAAACAAAAAACAAACAAACAAACAACAAACAAACCCCCTAGGATGGCAATTTCCTTCACGACCCGCGTAGCTTTACGGATTTTTCCACTACAGGGATGAAGATTCTAAGAATATTCTTCCCGTGAGGCGGGATAGAGGCATTTTATTCCTCGTAAAATTTCGTGAGGAATTTCTCTCGTCCTGTGGGAACCGTGGAGGTCCATTTAAAATAAATAAATTTATATATTTTTAAATATATTAACAATTAATTTTTACTTACTCAACCTAATTAATTGATCAATCCTTTTTTTTTTTTTTTTCATTTTTTCCAAACCTAATTATATAATCCAGTCCAGCCCATAATCTTCTTAAATTTAATTGCTCAAACCCAACTCAATTTGCTAGTAACCCTAGAACTAGAAGGACTATATCAAATTTTTGAGATTTGCGAATTTGCTCTACGATTCTTCCTCTCCAGACTCTAATCTCTTCTCCTCTGTTCTGTAGCTCACTGGTTTTGTTTCTGTTCTTCAATCGGTCAATTTCCTTCAACCTATCATTCTCAACAACCTTCGAAAGGTAGTGCCCATAGCTCTGTTTCTATTCTTCAATTGGCTACTTGCAGTTTGCCTGAACTTGAGTTGTGAGTATTTGTGAGTATCTGAGTATCTGTGTTTGATGATTTATTTTGAGGTGAAGTAGATCTCATTCTTTTGGCCTTATTATTTCCAATTTCATTTTCCCTTCGATTGTTCACAAGATTGTTAGAATGCGATTTTTATTGTTTACATACCTGCGCAGCTTCTTTCTCGCATTCACAGCGAACGATAATCATATTGTTATTTTGAGGCTCAATCAAGCTCTTAATTCGTTCCATCTTCAGTTAATTTTTCAAACGAGAAATGAATATCGAGTTTTATTTGGTGAGGACTCCGAATACCCATAGTGGCCTATTATTTCCCACGAATATGGGAACGGAGGTTATTTTTTATCCTTTGTCAAAAAGCCCCATAGGAATCCCCATACCTATCATTGACGAGGATAGGAATGAGGAGGGGATCCCCACGCCCGTGGGGATCCGTTGCCATCCCTAAACCCCCCTACACACGCACACACAACTCCAATGATACCCATGGTAAAATTTTAATTTCATTGGTTTAGTTGTCTGAGGTCAACAATTGTCAGCTATGCCAATGAAACAAATCCAACATATGTATCATCGTGATCCATGACAGCCACGATTTAAGTATTTTTTGCTGTTAAAAATATGATTAATAAATTAATATATATTCAAAAATAAATCAAAAAAATTGATCTAATAATCATGTATTGTGCTCTATCTTATTTTTCATACAGAAAAACGTGACCACTTGGCTATGTAGGGAAATGCATGATTTAAGCATTGAAAACATTGAAATTGGAATAAGCCATGAGAACGTAATGTTGTTGGTCCAAGCCTTCAAAGTTAATAATGTTTGTTAGGCAACCTCTAGCCTCTAGGTGATACCTTCCGGTAGTAAATCACGTTATCTTATAAGTTAAATATAAAATTTAAATTTTAAAATTAATATTTAAAAAGTTAATTTTGAACGTCAAAAATATTAATTAAAAATAATTTAACTAAGAAATTAATATTTTTTTAATATGGTATAGTTGTTAGAGTTTAAAACTTACATTAAATTTAATTAAATGATTTTATATAATACATAAAAAAACAATTAAAATTTTTTGATGTAGAATAGTAAAAAGATCCGACAGGGTACTGTATTTGTTGGGCGGCTGAATTAACGTAGAAAAAACGAGGCAAAGAACATAAAAAGATGAAACAAACAGGGGGCAGAAGCAGAACCCGTGAACCAGGCAGCGCTGCCTGGTTGACGACGCAATTGCACCAACAAAGTTAAGTATGCTGAATTACATTGGATAAGAATGATTGACCAAATCCGGTGTAATTATTTGCTCAATTAAGTCCACGATGCCGAAGACAACCAGTTACCTTGTTTTTCCTTTTTTTTAAGAGTAAAAATAAGTAGGATTAAAATTTAAAATTAGTGATGTAATTTATATTAAATTAATTGATAAATATAATATTATGAATTTTAAAAAATAATAATTTAATTATTAAATAATATAATATTAATTTTTTAATATAAAATCACATCATTAATTTGTATTTGATTTTTAAATTTTAGTCTTATTTATTATTAGTTTCTTTGA